ATGATCACATTCATTATATTAGAATCATATATATGTACATTTATCAAATACAATGATGTCATGATCAAGAATATCATATTAAAGTTATACTCCATTTGGGAATGTATCATATCTACATCATTCGATTAGTTCAAATAACATATAACTATTTATATCATTATATGTAGAAGCATTTCCTTATGTACATGTATTAATATCAATATATCATTTATAACAATACATAGAATCATTTATCATAGATATACATCACAATATATATAGTGAAAATATTATATAAGGTTAGATCATGTCAATATGAATGGTCATCATGAATGTCAGTACAATCATGTCATGTGTCATAACAGTCGACCCATCTTATCTTGAATGCTCATCACATGTATTATATATATATATATATAATCATCGTCATATATAACAATACTATCATCACATGAAATTATAATGTATATATAATAATGATATGCAAGGCGGAGCTTCAAAACAGTCATATCCCATCATAGAGTGCATTCAAGCACCTCATCATATTATCATATGAAAAGTCATATCTTAGCATCATAACACCATATATATATATATATATATATATATATGATAGTATTAAGTAAAACAATACTTCTAGCTCGTCATATCATATGCATTATTTTTCTTATATTATATCATATCATATCATCGTATGAAATAGTTTGTCATATGTACCCATATTAGCAAGATAGTAATGTTGTCTAATTGTATCATGTAGTGTTTCCTCTATACTTATAATGTAAGTCAAGTTTGATATCATGTTATATCATATCATGTCATGTCATGTGAAAAATTAGGTGGCATCATATATAAGAGTACTCATCACTCCAATCATATTCCCATTATATCATGTATTGAGTTCACACCACTAGCCCATATTTAAGTGAAAACATATTGGCACACCCATATTCTTCAAATATGAATTTCTGTATTAAGCAGCTTGCACATGTATGCCTCTTTAGTTTTATTTCGCTTTTAGTAATCTTTACATCTTTAGGGGGCTTACAAATATATATCCATTCTCTTAGCTTTTCCAACCAAAATTGAGTAATTATCCTATCCCAAATGAGTCAAAGGTTATCGAATAACATCCTCTAATTCTAATAGAAATCGATTATGCTTTTCTTCTATATCAAGAATCAGTTGTGGTTCATACCTTGAGAGTATAGTGAATTCAACTTCCCATTACATTATGGATCAATCTCATTTCACCCATCTAATGATTTATCTTATTGCATAAAGAGGAACTAACCACTGCCAAAAAAATATTAATAAATTATCCCACTTGATTGTGTTATTTGATCTATGACAAAATTTGTCTTGCAACTATTTTTATCACCATCTTTTTGCTTCACCTCCAAAAGTCAAGGTCACATGTATAACTCTTCTCTCAATAGGAAGATATGCTATAAAAAATTTTCTCAATTCGTAGTAACCAATTCACAACTATGATTAGTTCTCCGATGCGAAAAGAAAGATGAAGATTAAAATCTTAGGATGGATTCAAATACTTTTCCATTCAAGCCCCTTCACTTCTGTTAGCTTTGGAATAGGAACTTTTAAGTAGTTATATTTTAGTCATCATATGAATAAAAGTGTTTATAGTGACATTAGTATCATTGGACTAGATGTCAATGTTTACTCCTTGCATCCTAGTGGCTTCAGGTTCCTCAACTCTAACTTCCCTTATTTTTCTAACACTATTCACTTGATTGAAATCCGTAACCTAAGGTATATGAGAAATTTGACTTAATTAGTGTTAACTTAATGTTTAATAAATTTTCTTAAATGAAAATTATTCACTATATCATAATGGCTCTTTTTTTATGAGAATCATGGCCTAATCTAACCTATAGCCATTTATTTAATTCCAATCTTTGTCACAACATGAATTCAAAACTTAGAGTAATGAGGAAATAATGGATGGATGGATGAATATTTTAAACGTCCTCACATCACTATCAAGATGTAAAGAATCAACTGATCATAAACTTTCTTTATAACCAGTCCTTATAGTACACCACTTATATTTCATTTTTATCTCCATAACATATATTTATAAGAACTATTATATATGATTTATATAACCTAAAAAAATGATTTATATAACCTAACTCTATAAACGAACCTTCTTTTATATAAGAAATCCTTTCTTTCATTTATTTAGGTTAATAAAGATTTTTTTTTGAAAAATAGTTAACAACTAAAGGATTAGTTAAAACAACTCAAAAGCTAATTATATTTCTAAGTTATAGCAATTCAAAATTTAGGAAATAGTAAGAATGTTGCAAATAAATCAATATTCTTTTCTTTTTATGAAACAACATGAACATGCAACTGTAACAATGATATACAAAGTAACATATGCTTTCCTTATAATATCTTTTATCTTAATTGTACCATAAAGGTGTTCCATCTCATAATCTTTTCCAAACCTAACCCTAAAGGATAAGTAAACTTTTTTATTTTCTTATGTGCTTTGGTACCTTGCACCACCAGTCAATACCATAAGAGGGTGAACTCCATCATTCAACATGAACATGGATTCACACCTTTGTACATAGTTATTTGTATTCCTCTTATAGTACATTTACTTTAACAATATTGTTTTTCTTATCAAGTCAATAAGTAATCAGTTAAGCTTCAAAATTTGAAAAGTACTAGAAGTTATTTCTTTCAATATAAGGATTTCATAAATGAACAATAAAAATCATTTTAGAACATTGCAATAGTAGTCTATAAATTAGAGTAGTTATCAATACATGTAAGGAAGCTTAAAAGTGATGGATTTGATTTAGAGGATTAAACATAATTACCCACCTTCACTTAAATAAGTTCTTTTCCATTAAAAGTTGCTTCCTTCAATGGGGGTAACATAAGATTATTTTAATCATAAAACTCTCTTTGTCATAACTTTATTCAATGATAACTATAACCAACATTGAATACTATTATAAATATAATTAGAATAAAACATACAACTATCAACAATTTGAACACATTTTGATAAATTATTCACTTTATATATTTTGTAATAAATTCGTTTTACCAAAATCTCACTTCTTTGTATTTTAATTTAAATATTTCAATTATACCCAATTTTAAACTTATTACATACTATACCATAACAATATTATTATTTCATTCAAATTATTATATTATATTTGAATTAAATTATTACTTAATAAATGGTTACAATTTAATGCTTTTAAAATTAGCTTTATAAAATATAATTATACAAACTTTTAATTAATTATACTAAATTTTCTTCTCCCTACTCTTCTTTTTCTTCTTCCTCTTTTTTCTTCTTTTTCTTAAAATCCTTAGGAATTTTCTATGAACATTCATAAACTCGAAAATTGAGTTTGAGAAGAAAAGAGAATTTACCTCTTGGCTTAGGGAAGAGAAAGAAAGAAGAATCCTAGCCTTTTAGTGTTGAAACTATCACCTAAAAGCATCTTTGAAGTCTACTAGTCTTTTCAGTTCACTGTATGCATGCAAAAAACTCTTGGCCTCTTGCTCATGCGTTCAAGTTGCACATGCCTTGCATGCTTGGACTACTTTTGTATGCTTCCATTTTCCCATGCATCCACTCTTGCTTGTATGATTGTCTTCTTATGCTCTGCATGAGGGCTCCCTAGAGCCTATCATCCCTCTTTCTCTCACCCTTTATTTCTCACACTCTCTCACTCTCTATTTATCTCTCCCACTTTCATTCTATTGCTCTTATTTTTATACCCCAAATGCCAACTCATTCTCTTTAATAGACGAATAAGGCAGTGCTTCCTCAATTAGTTATCTAACACCTATTTTGACATGTGTCACATGAAGTTTGAGTTAGTTTTTTAGTAAATTGATTTTGAAGGAATGGATATAGAAAAGTTTTGATGTATACGATTTATAGTTACTTTCATCAAATTTATTTAATTTGATGAATATTTGGTAACTCTAGCAAATTGATTAAATGAAAATAGGCAATTCATCCAAAATTTTGATCTTAGGATGTTACAATTAAAAAAGTTGCTCAAAACTGAGAAGCAATTTCACAACTAAAAAGGCTTGCTTAGATGCACCTCATGGGCCATTTTAAAGGCATAACTTTTTTGGATTTGATGTGTTGGGGGAAGTAGCTTGGGAAAGTGAGCAGTTTCAAGAAGATAATCATTGACGAGCATACTACGATCAATCGACATGTGGAATTTATCACAAGTAGCTAAAGAAATGGGCAAGAAGAGTGCATCGCAACAAGGGAAAGAGAAACATGCTATTTGTTTGAGTTGTAAGAACTATACCTTTTCATGAAGGGATATAGGATAATAATGCCAAATCAATTGGGGTATTTTCAATATTATATTGCCTTAAAGTCGTGGAAGCAACATATATTGGAGGTGGCAATATGTTGTGAAAATTAAAGTCAAAACACACAAAATTCTAGAACTCAAATAAAAAGCAACACCTAAACAATAACATTGTTATATTTTATAAAGAAAAAAAAAATCCCCAAAAGGCCCTAAATGTATTTGGAAGTGAGTTTGTATGGTGAAGGTGGCTATCACAAGTGGAGGTGAAGTTAGAAGAAACTTCTTCATGTAATAGAGGTAGTAGACAGAGAGGTTGAGTGAGGAGATCACACGTCTAATGAGACAGTGCGGAGGTTGTTGTGAAAGAAGTTGGTGTTCATCGCAAGTATTCTATTTAGAATTCTGAATTCATAATAAGCGGATAAAATTCAAATTAATCAATTTAAAATTTCAAATCCCTCATAAGAATATCTAAAATTTATTTTCCTCACAAATAAACATTTGAAAGTATTAAATCTATAATTTTAAAATCCTTCCAATCTTTAATAAAAATAAGAGAAAATCAAGGGATGAAAAAGAAAAAAAAAAGAAAGAAAAGCCATACGGTAACCGCCATCGCAAACTCAAATCAGCCCAACTTGTCCGCATTCAACCCAGTTCAAACTAGTCACACATACCCTCCCAGCGAGTTCAATTGTTTGTGATGCCAAAGGACCAAAACCCTGAGATCTGAATACAGAACGCATGGATGTCCTCGGATCGATGGACGTCCGAGAGCTCCTCTCCTCAGAGGACCTCGACGAGACTTCGCCACTCTCCGCGCCCGACCTTAGCCTCCTCATTGATCGCCTCCAGATCCGTTCCCTCCACATCAAATCCAAAGTTCGTGAGTACGTACTCTCCCATCACCGTGAGTTCGCCGACATATTCTCCCGCAGCGCTGCATGTGCCGCCGGAGCCGATGAAGCCGCGGCCGCCCTTGCTGAAGTGCTTCGCCTCCTTTCCGACCATCCCGTCGACCGAGAGATCCGCGACCTCGTGAAGGAGATCGGGAGGAAGAGGCGGGAACTCGAGCAGCAGAGGGCGGCGCTGGGGTTTGTGGGGACAATTTCTAGTTTGCTTGAGAGATTGAAATTTGCGAGGGAGGATGTTAGGGCAGGGAGATTGGTCGAGGCGGCAGTTGCGGTGAGGGATTTGAATATGGGGCTTGGGGTGTCAGAGAAGTGGGACGAGAATCGCGGAGTGGAAGAGCCGGCAGTATTTGGGTTCTTGAGGAAGGAGTGTTTGGAGTGCTTTGATGAGGTATGCTGATGAAATTGTTTCTCCTTTCCTCAAATTACGGCGAACTTCGATTTAGATTACTGTTTTCATGTAGCTACAATGCGTCCTCTCGCGAAGTATGGAAAGTTTGGTCCAGTTCGAGCCTGAAAATGGTACTGTGACTGTCAGGTCCACTTTCAGAAGTGGGAAAACAATTGAACTTGTGTTGCGTAGAGTATTGGAAGCCATGGAGGTGATCTTTTTCTTCCTATGTACACTAGTGTATTTGTTTGTACCAGTTTTTGTTTTGCTTCTCCTTGACCATTGGATATGCGATTTTCTTGGAATTTCAATAATCATATTTTCTTTAGGATTTTTTTTTCATATACTTGTTGCATTTATATATATATATATATATATATATAAACTTCTTAGCTTTGTACGAAGATCCAACATGCAATTAGATAAAATAGAGGGTGCAACATCATAAGAGACCCCATAGTTTTTATGTGGAAACCCTTTAAAAGGGGGAAAAACCACGGGACTTGGCCCAATTTGAAATGATCCATTAGTATTTGTAGTTGATTACAAATAAGGCCCTTCCTTGGGGGGAAGGCCTTGGCTTGATGTAAGAAATATACACCATATGGAGTGCATTACATGGTAGGAATATGAATAATCACTGTTGACGTGTTCGTTTGGTCGGAAGGATCATAGTCGGTGTACGACGGAGGGCGGAAAGATCATTGTCCGGTGACGGAGGTTGGAAAGACCGTTGTTTGGCGACAAAGGTCGGAAGGACTATGGTCAGCGAAGGAGGTCAGGAAAATCGTAGTCTAATACATCTACTCTCCTAACTGGGTCATCAGAAGTCTGATGTTTTATGTGTCAAAACCATTTAAGGCGACTCTCTCTATTCTTATATGACGCTAGAGCTACTCCAACCTTTTCACGTATATACTCGTTTCACATTCTACCTCTAAGAGTGAAGCCACTCATCCACTTGTGCATCCTCATCTTTGCAACACATAACTTAATTTTATGCTTCTCTTTTAATGGCAAACATTTTGAGCCATAAAGTACTGCATGTTTCACCACTATCTTATAGAAATTTTCCTTTAGTTTGAGGGGTACTTTTCTATCACACAATAGGCTTGATGCATTCCTCTACTTCAACTATCCAACTTGAAAGTTTCCAATAATATCCCCATCTATTTCACCATTAGTTTGAACAATAGAGCCAAGATATCTATGACATATACTCTTATTAATGAATTGATCACCCAAAGTCATAATCCCCCAACTTGATCTATTACTACTAAAATTATATTCCATGTATTTGATTTTAGTTCTACACAAACGAAAACCTTTTGACTCTAAGGTTGACCTCCGTAATTCAAGTTTTCCTTCAACTCCCTATCTAGTCTCAACAAGAAGAATATTATCAACAAAAAGCATACACCAGAGTACATTCTTTTGTAAATGTCTAGTAAGAACATCTATGACTAAAGAAAAAAGGGGGCTTAAAGCTGATCCTTAATGTAATCCAACTGAAATAGGAAACCACTTGGTCAAACCACCTTGTGTTTGAACACAAATAACATCTCATGCATACATATACTTAATGACTTGAATATAAGCATTATTAACTTAATTCTTTTCTAGAACTCTCAAGAGCACTTCTTTTAGAACTTTATCATAAGCTTTCTTTAAATCAATAAATACATATTTAGACCTCTTTATTCTATCTATTCTTCTCCATCAAACCTCTCAATAAATGTATAACTTCCATAGTAGACCTGCCCGACATGAATCCAAATTGATTTTGAGAAACATTATTATCACATTGTAACATATGCTCAACAACCCTCTCACATAGTTTTAATGTATGACACATTAATTTAATTCCTCTATAATTTGCACACTCTTATGCATCATGGAAAAGTATTTAAGGATAACTATTTATATCCTACTCTAATATTTGAATTAGTGAATAGTTATCTCTCTATTTGACCGTTAACGTAGGTGATCTTACCAAACTACCTAAACTCCCTTGTGTTATTTTCCTCATGTTCTCCTTGCAAATTATTTTTCCATTATTGTGATCGTCATTGCTCTTGGGCGCATACTTTTCCCCATACTTTAGACTCTTAAAATCATTCCTTCTAATAGAAATATGTTTGCCGAGTAAAATTACTATTTATATTTTAGCCCTTGCTACATTCAAACAAGCGCTTCCTTGATTTTATCTCCTATACGACACCTAGGAGCTTTGATAAAACTAGTTTTACTTTGGAAGGTGCCAAGCTGATGTTGATTAAGGATAAAAGCTGTTAAGCTTGGGGTGGCTTATCATATAGGTTTGGATTTTATCGTTTCCCTTCTTAAAGTTTAGGGGCTGGCTTATTTTAAAACAATCCCAACAAATTTAATAACTGTTTTAAATTCTGATGTAATACGAGCTGGAATATGACACCACATGGATATTGGGCATGATGTTCCATTTGTAGATAAGCTGTGTCAGGGCTTTACAATATGTATGTTAAATTTATTACCTCAATGTCGATCTTTAACATCTTCAAAACCATCCTCCTGGTAAATCTCTTTGGTGAAATGAAAAATTTGAGTTAATAACACATCCCATTCTCACAGTAATGAATGTAGAACTATCTGAGACTAAATAGTTGGTATAATGTTAAAGATGATGACTATGTTGAAACGTTACAGTTTAACTTATTGGAATTTGGAACATTATCAAGTCGCTTGCCAACTAATAACTTCTGTCATTTTCTATTAAACTTTTTGTAATTGGCTTCATGCTGATTCCATGCGGTTGATACCATTTCCTACTCACATTTTTTATTGGCTATTACTTTTAATTGTATCCAATTTTCTTTTCTGTTCTTACTGACACTGCCCATTCCATAAGAAGGTTGTAGATGTTCTGGATTATGGCCTGGCAAAGGTAACTGATTTTATGATGAAGCATGCGATAGGCCCAGCAATAACTAACAAAGGCATCCGTATTTGGGAAGAACCTAATCGGGACTCTGCTGCTATGCTCAGAATTAATTTATCATCTGAACATCATGTAAGTCTCTCTGCTGATCAGTGGTCAGAGTGGGCAATCCAAAAAAATTGCATTTGGCATCCAAGCATACTTCCAATTTTATTCCATTTCGGATTATTTTTATCACTTTAAGAGGCATCATGAACGGAACACTGTAAGAAATGTGGAACTTGTGCTTCCAAATTATGGTTGTTATATGTCTGCCATAGCTAGGGAACTTTAGAGGATGCTGTGAAGGAATTTTTCTCTATGGTATTGCCTATTATAAATGAACTTTTTGGATGATGCCGTCAAAGAAAAAATGGTCAAGCCTTTTTCCAAGGAGACATTTTTCTTTATCTTATTTATGTTTTAATCTTTTAATTTAATTTTACTAGTTATCTGAAATTGAAGTAGGAAATAAAGCTTCCATTTTAGTTAACTTATAACATAACAAGAAAAATGTAAATTTTTTTTTTTAAATAATTCATTAATTTATCCAAAAAATACATCTTTGTTTGTTATATTTACCCTATTTGGGCTCTTCATCTTTTTAAATATGTACAAAATATTTAACCAATGAATACTTAACCTGTCTATGTGCCTTAATTCATTTACATGTTTCGGGGTTGGAGGATAAGTCATTTCATGATTTTCATTTGCTGTCATGACAGACAATTATTTTTTTTCATGAACTACAAAAGGCCTATGGTTTTTTTCGGTGCTTGAAAGGGTTAACTAGATTTGCAGTCTTGCATGAAAGTGGGCTCTAGGTGGGATGACATTTTCATGGTGTTTCTTGACCTTCCTGAGAATGGATTGATGAATTAATCATTCTTATATATTATATTATTGTATTATATTTAATAGAATACCTAATCTAAAAAGTCATTAAATATAATTTTTGTTGATGGTGTAGGACATCACTTTTATATTATTTCATCGCTGTTTGTTTGGTGGTTGGTTGGTGCATTGGCTAAATTGATGCTGCAAGCTAGCCTTATTCGGCATGCTTATGTTTGACCTGACTTGGCATTGTTTGTGCGATCCCAAAGTGTCTTTTGACATGAAATAAGAGTACAAGCAAGCAACTGATAGGCATCTCTAGGAGATCTTTGAAGACTTGTAACCAATCATTTTATCTATATTCTTATGAAGCTCCGTATGTATATGATGTAATCCCTTTTGGTTTGTTAATTTTCTATTTCTATTGGCATCATTTGTCGCAATTATTGACAAAAAGGTTTAAACTCTATATATTTGTTAAGTAATTTACCCTAGAACCGAACTAGCTTTAACAATTATTCTGAGATACTTCCATGGACGGATATGTGAAATGCTACTGTAAGTTTTTTCTTAATATTCCCTCATTTACACACATTTAGAGGGAAACCACCTGCCCAAGGTAAACTCATGATTATCTTCCTCGTAACAGTTTATGAATTTTTGATTTGCTCATTGTTGGATGAGTTTCAGTTATCTGGTTCAGCTTTAAGGATAGGCTATCACACTCATTTCTGATCTTGAAACTACTTTTGTTTTCTTTGGACTTTTTCTAGACTATATTTTAGGCACACTACATGTCATAAGATGTTGAATCCCATTCATTGATAAGTTCAGAGCATCATCTTATGTGACATGTACTTTATTCTTTCACGTTGTTATTTAGTATTGTTTCATTCTATGTCTAAGAGTTCCTTTTTATTGATACTTTGTGAATGCTTGCCTGATTGCCTCTACTGAACATGATGAAACGTGTTCATTTGCAATTTGCTTCAAATAGTTTAATAAACTTATATATATATGTATTTTAATTATTGTAGGGAGAAACTGAAGTTGTGGCAATTTTTTCTAGCCTTATTCAGATTATAAAGTTTATCTACAAATTTGTCTGCTTTGAGAATGGAATATGGATGCAGTGCTTTGGAAGGCTGGTCTGGCCAAGAATGTCAGAACTTATCATATCACAATGTCTTTCCAAGGTTGGTATTTGAGATTTGAGGAAAAATGCTGAATTAATAAAATGGATTTTTCTGTTTAATGCACATGATGCTTGTCTAAGGGCATGTTGCTAAGGTTGAGCGAATAGGCTTTATCCTTGATGTTACATTGAGTGAGGATAAAAGTCCTATCAAGTACATAATCATGAATCAGTCTGAATTTATCATAATAGAAGTTCTTTTTGGACTTTATAATTAATCCTGCATTCATAAATACATTTTCTATTCAGGTTTCTTTGTGTTTTGATGTTTCCTAATTGTATATTGTTATGAATGTATGTTTCTTAGAGCGGTACTGGATTTCAAAGTAATTGAGTTTGAACCACTTTTTAGTGTGCGTTGGATTGTAGATGTTTATACTAATTTGAGGTGTAAAATGGGTTGAACTTCTGAGCTTCGTTGCTCATCACTTCACCTTAAGTTTATACTTCATTCAGAAGTGATCATAGTAAACTATTAACTTCAAATAATATTTTTTATATGAAAAGGTGGGATTATGATCAGCTTTTACTAACAAAGTAAGAATAAGAACAAATTGTATTTATTCCTTGTCGTGAGTTAACCAGTAGGCCACAGTTAGCTTTTGTCTCAGTGTTGGGGATAATAGGCTGAGAAGAAGCAGCAAGTTGGATTAACTGCTAGCTTTCATAAAAATACTCCATGCTAACTTTTCTTTACCAAACACTGATTCATCCTATTCATTTGACTCATCATTTATTTTACTTGTTAATCACTCATTAGTATCATCTATGTCATTAAAAAAAAGTAGGCCATTGATTTTATGTTGGTTATTTCTCAAAATCGAGGCATAAAAATACTCTTTAAATTTTCTTTACCAAACACTAATTCATCCTATTCATTTGACTCATCATTTTTTTTACTTGTTAATCACTCATCAGTACATCTATGTCATTAAAAAAAAGTAGTTCATTGATTTTGTGTTGGTTATCCTTAAGCCCCCCCCACCCACCAAAAAAAAAAAAAAAAAAAAAAAAAGAAATAAGAGAAAAGAAGAAGAGGAAGAAAACAAACAAAATATTGACCCACCAAAAAAAAAAAAAAAAGAAATAAGAGAAAAGAAGAAGAGGAAGAAAACAAACAAAATATTGCACGCAATGTGCAATCTGCTATAATGCAAAACAACTTGATAGCGTATATAGTGTGCGCTACTTTTTCTTCCTGCATTTTGTTATGCCAGTAGCCTATAAGATGTTTGCATCGCAATGTTTTGGGCTATAATGCATGCTATTTTGCTTTATTGACAAGCATGATTCATATAAATCTGATGTGAGATAATATGGTTAATTCCATTTAGAAGATTATTGTAGGGGTTTTGGTATGGGAATGAATTGTATAGTGATAGAGAGGTTTGGTGGTTGAGTGAAGATGTACAAAGGGTTATTACTCTGTTAATAAGTGAAAAATGTTGAGTACTACTGAGGCTGATAATGATTATAAGAAGGCTATAATTCTTGCAAATAAGAAAATGAGTAATGTGAATGCTACGACTTTTTCGTTAATTTATATAATAACTTGGTATTATGGGAAGGATAAAATGAGATTTATAGAATAGCTAAGATGAGAGAAAAAAGACTTAGGGTTTTTGATGAAATCAGGTGCGTTAAAAGTTAAGATAATATAATCTTTGTTAATGACGAAGACATCAAATAAAAATGAAAAAAATTCTTTGATAAATTTCAAAATGAGAGATTTAAGGGAAAATTATTTTGGAAGAGTATAACAAACAATATAATGAAGTGTATTCTACACTTATCCAAAAATTTGAAGTGTAGTTAGCTTTAAAAAGATGCATAAATGTAAGGCTTTATGTTCATGTGAGATGCCTATTTAGATTAGGAGAGTTATGGGCGATGTTATGGTGCTTTTGTTAACAGAAATTTTCAATAGAATTTTGAATGCAGAGAATGCTTAATGATTGGAGGATCAATATTTAAAAATAAAGACGTTCAAGATTGTGCTAACTATATATTTGTCAAGCTTATGACTTATATAGTGAAGATGTGAGAGTGAGTAATGGAATACAAAATTATAAAATTTCAATCAATTTTTGAGAACCAATTTTGTTTCATAATAGGAAGATCTATTGAAGAAGCAATTTTTATGAGACAATTAATGTAGAAGTGTATGAAATAAAAAAGGATATTCGTATTATTTTATTGATCTTGGAAGGACTTGTTGTGTTACAGAAAAGTTCTCCTCAAACTTAAGGGAAATTCTATAAGATGGTGGTTAGACCTGCCATGCTTTATGGTGTTGAATGTTGGGCATTAAAAGACAAGCATAATATTAAGTTAAGTGTTGCAGAGATGAGGATGCTCAAGTGGATGCGTGGCTTTACTCCTAAAGACATGATACGAAATGATCATATACATGAAAAGGTTGGAGTAGCTCTAGAGGAAGATAAAATTAGAGAGCGTCGCCTTAGATGGTTTGGTCACATAAAAGGCAGTCTTCCGATGACCCGATTAGGAAAGTAGATGTATTAGATTTGACTTATATTAATAAATATAGAGGCAGACCTAAAAAGATTTGGTTATAAAATATTAAAGTGACCTTTCTTTATTAGATTTAAATGAGAATCTAACTTTTAACTGGGCACAATGGAGAAAAAGGATTTATGTAGCCGACCTCACATAATGGGATAAAGGCTTGATGTTGTTGTTGTTGGAAAAGCATATGTTTATGTGCTGCAAAAAATTATTTTATTTGTTTAAAGGCAAAATGTGTGTCAAAGAGATAGATATTGTTAAAAATATTTATGATGAAGCATTGCTTAGTATTAGAGTTTTTAATTGTCCAAGGTTTATATTAAGGGCCATTATTGCATCCATATCCTTTTATATTGGTTATGGAGATGTTTACAAAGGATATTCAAGGCGAGAGGGCTTAGTATGCATTTTTTATAGATGATATAGTTTTAATTACTGAAACATTAACTGAAATCAGTGAAAAATCAGAACAATGAGATAAATGTGAAGATACAACTTTAGAATTAGTAAGAACAAATGTTGAGTATAAGAAATGTGATTATTGTAGGTATGATGTTAACATTTATCATTTAATATCATTTGAAGATAAGGTGATACTTAAGTATTATAGATTTAAGTATATTGAATTTATTGTACAAAAAAGAAAAAGAAAAAAGATAAGAGAAATAGATGAGGATATAACTTTTAGAGTTAGATTGGAATAGATAAGTGTCTCATGAATTTTATATGATTAGAGGATATAATATGTATGCTTAAAAATAAATTTTATAAAACTCTAATTATGCTATTGATTTTTTATTAATTTGAGCGTTAGTTTGCAAAAAGTCATTAACATCTAAGTTCAGTGTGGCAAAATTGAGAATGCTATGATGGCAGTGTGTCTCAGTTATGAATGATAAATTAAAGGATGATTATATTAGAAGAAACATTTGAATGACTTCAAATAGACTCTTGTAGTCTGGGCATCTGTAAGAAAATGTAGTAAATATGCCTGTTAAACGAGTTAATAAAATTAGTGTAAGAGAATTAAGAAAATAAAGTGGCAGGCCTAAGATAAGATAAATAGGCATTGTTCCAAATGATATATAAAGAATAGATTTAACATCTTGCACAAAACTCAATAAAAACAGATGGAAAATGAGGATTTATAATGCTAACCCGAAATAGTTGGGATAAGGCTAATGATGATGAATGTGCTTCTTGACACTCCTTGGATACTCAGACATGTGGTTCACCATCTGAGTGCCTTTTCCCTTGTCAGGTAACTCATGAAGACTTGCATATCTACTCATGTACTAGTCATCCCAAGCAAGCTGCTTTTATACCTAAGCATTTGATCACTTGTTTTTGTTTTCATTTACTCATATAATAGACAAATGAAATGTTATATTTGTTCAGAGGTTTTGTAATCTTGATTTTAGCAATTCGTTTCACTATTCTTCTTGGGTGTGGGGGGTAAACTTGAATTATGGAGGTCAACCTTAGAGTATAAAGGCTTTCGTTTAAGTATATCTTAAACTTAATATATGGAGTGTAATTTTAGCAATAATAGTTCTTGTGGGGGGATTGTAACTTTGGGTGATCAAGTCATTAATAGGATTACACGTTTTAGATATCTTAAGTCTATTATTCAGAGTGATGGTGAAACAAATGGTTGAAATGGAGTAATGCATCGGTCTCGTAGGTATATAAAGGTGTGAAGGCGGTTCTTAGAGCTGATTTATGAGGAGTTAAAATATATTATTGAATGATGTTTGGTTTATCAGAACATCTTGATCGAAGAACTCTTCTTTAGGAATTGTTAGTTTTGTTGGATTTTTCAGAGGTGGCATTCTAAACGTTAAGTGATGCTGTTTAATTATGTTCTTGGTATGAACTTGCATGGAAGTAGGTTTAGTGAATTGAGCTGCTTACAGTCTAATATCTTGTAACCAAAAGCTTACATTATACAAAAAAAAAAAAAATCACTTTTATGATCAGCAGCCAACTGTGGTTTTAATTATAGTTAATATGAGAGGCTTACCTGCCTTCTGATGGAAGTTCACAGCACAGATTGTATTGCCTTTTTTCTACTCTTGTAAAGTAACATATTACTGTGCATGACTTGAATTTTGTTTTTGTTTGAATGACGTTAAAACCTTACCTGCTGGATTGGATGATCAGTGATCCGCTCATTTGTTAGCATGTAAAATCTCTGATTTTTCAATATGGGAAAGACTGAATTGATAGGATAGATTAGTGGTTTTAGAGAATACTTTTTAAGCAATTTCATGATTTTTTGGACGAACTTTTTCACTATGTGATCTGATTAGCGCTCAGATTTAGTCATGCCTTGAGTATTTGTGAGTGATAAAGAATTTTGACTGACATTTCAGGCTGTTCAAGAAGATGCTACAAAGATGGTGGAATTAGAGAATATTATTAGGAGCACTTCTGAGTTTGAGAACTCTTTAAAGGAAATGAATTTTATCTCTTTCAGCAATAAAAGTGAAGAAAGGTTGAGTCATTTTATTCACAATGTCGAGGTTCATTTTGCTTCTAAAAAGAAGAATGAAATCCTAGCAAAGGCTCGCAAAATTCTTCTTCAGTTTTGTTCCCTGGTTAGTTTGAGCATGTAGAACTTTTTCCTTAGGTTGTTACATAAAGCAATTCATGTTTGACACAATGATTTACGAAACTGCAGGAAGCAACCTCAAAAAGTGGTATGCTGTTTGATGATGCTTATGAAGTTACGTCTGTTCATGCTGCTGACTTGCTTTTTCAACCTGAAAAGTGTTTTGTATCAAGTGCATTGTGTCAAGTCATACAACTAGTGCACGAAACACTTAAGGTATGCATGCATATTTGAACGAAATTTTTTTTATTTTTTTTCTTATTGTTGTTTTGGTGATTGATCTTGTATTTTTTCTATCATTGTAACCCCACGTAGTGGGATAAAGGCTTGATGTTGTTGTTGTAACATCATGGAGACAAATGGACTTGCAGTATAACTGATAATTTACATTCCAGCTGAAATGTATGCTTAAAAATGGAAGCATGTTCTGCTCTCATTGGAGCAATTTGTTCTTTTATTATGCCACAATGGAAAAAGTACTTGAAAAAGGCGTGATGCAATATTCCAGTGTAGGTGATGTAATAACATTACGTTTTATAACTCAATGGAAGGTTATGGCGCTGTATGCTGCAAGATCAGGGGTAACCTTATGTCATTTGAACCTCTCTAGTTAGTTTATGCGCTACTTGCATGTATCCTTTTAATATGTAGTGTTTTTATTTGGGAGATTAGTTGTAGTATGCAACTAATGTCTTTTATCATCTATATTTGAAGTGTGATTTCAATTAGAGGTGTAAATCTGTGCTAGTGTGTTGCATTTGGTTTCAACTAGAAAATGTCCCAAATTGAATGAAGCTAAATTGACTTGTTTATACTGATTTGTATATGCCAACCAACCCAAGAATACAAAAAAAGTTGATATTGGATCTAGATTTTTATTGGAAGAAAAAGGGGTCTCTTGTTAGATGGAATAAAATTTTGTTTTCAGGGGTTGATTTGAACCGGCTTGAATTTATTTTTGGTCTCTTAAGCGAACCTGAATTAGACCCTAATGCTACTTGGGTTAATCCAAACACAAAATCTCTATTTCGATTTAGGCAAAAATGGTAATGTTTGTCAGGTTGGGCTTCAGCATGACTTCCCTCTTGCTTATGAATCAATGTTCTCACCTTCAATCTTGTTTCTTATTTCCTCATTTCAATCCTTGCAACTTGTGCCCGCGAAAAGACCCGACTCCTACGCGTCGAGTCGAGTTGCAGTCGCTCAGTCCGCGACTCTGCATCAGCCGTTAGCGATCAGTCGCGTGACGCTACTCGCGTCGCGTCTCTTCGCCTCAAAGGAGAGGCCATCGCCGGCTCGCTGCTCTTCGTGCTTAGCACGATGCCGCTCGGCCGCCGCTGCTGCTGTACCGCCGCCTCGCCGGGACAGCTCGCCGTCTCGTTGGAACTTGAAGTAGCGCCACTTCTTCATCCGTATGCCTTAAATCCGTGTCGGGTCGTGTCAACCCGGAAACCCGGCGTGTCGAGTCCGAGTTGAACAAACCGACCCATTTACAAAATCGGGTCGGGTTTGAGTCATGTCATATAGCTCCGGGTCAGTTTCGGATTCGACCCAAACCCAACCTGTTGACCTGAATTGACACCCCTATTCTGAATATTAGATGATGTTTGATTTTTAAAGCATCCTATCATGTTGCTCTGCTTGCAAATTTCTTGGGCATAAATTCTCAGATTTTTTTTTTCTGGCTCATCTTTAGTTGAGGAATTCTAATTATAAGGTATAAACTTATAACCAAATATTCAGATTCGACCGCCAACCCCTTTAGTGGATGACACTCCATCAGATTAGGTCTGCTCTCTGAATTTGGAACCAATTTTAATCTCTCCGTTAGAACTAGAAACAAATATGCATGCCCCTACTTCATCTTCGAAGTTGGACATTTCTTCATTACCTGGTTTTAGCAGTTAGATTGATCTTTATGATATTGAAACACCTCACCTCCATCCAATTTGCAAATCTAGCAATAATCATGATTTTTAGCAACCTTATGATTTAAATACGAACATTTTGACCATCAATACTCTAGTTGATATGATATTCCAAATTCTATTTACCCGACGGGGTAGGAATTGGAAAGAAATCTTTAGCCATTTCCTGTATTCATAAGGCTTTGACCAAGATGGCCCAAATGATTTCTTTTGTCGCTTAATGGTCCATTGGATGTTTCATACTTTGTTATCATGTTTCTTTGTATTTCTCTTTTTTTTGTTAACTTTTCATGATTGCCCTTATTATATTATTATCATTTTTTGGTTATAATATTTTGCTTTTATAAAACAATCTCCATTTTGATTCAGTCGTTTTTATCATGTTGGATCTAATCTCAACGCCCCCAAAAAGATTAAGTCATGTGAAAAATATCCTTATAAACTATAATACATAATTAATTAAGCAATAACTATGCTATGATTTTTATTCATATTTCATGTACAGACCTACTATGATTTCTTTTTGAACTATTTTGACTGAAGTATGTGTTTGACTTGATAGCGCGTACTGCTCTTATATCTCTTGAATCATTCATATTTGTTTTTAGGAGTTGCTATATCCAATCTCAAGCTTATTTGAACTATCTCAATGCTAAATTGAACTGAAGGAGAGCTCGGAACTGACTTGAAGTTTGGGACTTCTTTGTTTTCCGTTCTTTATTTGAAATGATTTTGAGCTACGGCAACTTGGTTTGGATCAGACTCGGATTATGGCTCATTTTTGGATAGATACTGGCTTGAATTTACATCAAGAATAATGATTTTACTGGAACAAAAAACATTCCTGATATAATTTTAAAATTTGATGAGCCTGCATCTATATTAAATTTGACGAACCTTGGTATTTTTAATATTCAGATGATATAGTCTTGATAGATAATAAATCCAATAAAGGAATACTGAGATAATGGGGGCCTACCATTATTGCATGACTACTTAGCGACATCATATTTTATGAATAATAGCTTGGCTTTTCATACTGATGTGGGAAAAACCATTGCAATCCAAACCTATACTAATAATGAAACACAGAACTTGGTATTAGTTTTTCTTGATAAAAAATTTTCAATACTAAACTGTAAAAAGGTAAATATTTTGACATTTTAAGCACATATTTTCTGGTATAGGAGTTGGTATAGGAGTAGGATTGATGCTAGAGAATTAACAATTGTAATTAATATAGCTAGAAGATTTAGGGTGCGTTTGGAACGGCTGCAACTGTTGGTAAAGTAAGTTGTAAAATTGTTGTACAGAAAGCAGTACATTTTGTTTGGGAAGTATAACTGTCAAGCTACTGTGCTGCAACTGTATAGGAATAAATTACCTTTATACCTTTATTTATTGATATGAAAAAATGCTCACGACGGCAGATCAATAACCTTCCGACAATTTATATTGAAGAAAAAACATCCACTTCACAATGATTCCTTGATTCCATCATCATGATATCCAAGTTTTGTCATAGGATACCTAACTCGTAAGAATTTTTCATTACCATAATTTTCATGTGGGAAACCTATGTCTTAAGATCATTCACATCACCATAATATCAGAGCCTTGCAATGGGAATGAACCAATCTCTTAAGATTAACTTGCATGTATTTCTTAACTAACCTCCCCTAAAAATTCTGAAAACCCAATATTAGATCACGAAGAACCATTACATCAGAAAATAGTCTAATACCAAAAATCAGCATCACGGATTGTGCTACATAATCTTATCTTGTTCAGGAAATCACTAAAAAAGGTTTTTTTATAAACCAGTCATGTCCGAATCTCAAGCAGAGTCTCTCCGCTTCTTGTCTCGCCACCTAATCCGCCCATCTCCACCACCCTCAGACGTCGAATCCCGCCGTAGCCGCCAAATTCATCTGAACCAGTGGGATCTCAACCTTCTCTCCCTCGATTACATCCAGAAAGGCCTCCTTTTTCCAGCTTCATCCATCTCCGACCAAATTCTCCTCATCCCCCGCCTCCTCTCCTCCTTCTCCCAATCTCTCGATCTATTCTACCCCTTCGCCGGCCGCCTCTGCACCGTTCGCCACCCCGCTTTCTCACCTTTTAAAATAAAAATCGACAGAATGCACACAGTACTAATGTCTCATAGATGAAAGCAACCGACCGTTGGATCTTGATTGGTATGCAACCCACGACATCCACGTCTAGTAAGGGCGGCGGAGAAGAGATGGAAGACGAGGGAGTTGATGCCATCTGGAAAGTTGGCGGATGAAGAGAAGAGGCGGAAGATTGCAGAGACGGTGAGGAGCAGAACATTTGGAAGGTCGCGAATATTTGGAAGCGGAGATTTACGTCATTTTTTCCGGGGAAAGCAGCGGACCGCAGGACATGGGGAAAGGTCGCGAGAAGCAGCTATGTGCCGCGAACTTTTTTTGACGTCGTTCTGCTGCAATTCCCCAAACGACAATTTAGTAACTTTTTATATAGCAAAGCAACGGTGCCGTCGTCCCAAACGCACCCTTAGTAGTACCTCGACATAATAAGTTATTCTTAAATTCATTATACAAAAGAAACATGGATACAGAGAAGAAAATGACTTGTATGATTAAAGTTGGGTGTTTAAAAAACTGAACAAGTTCCTCAAGAGTACTGTATGTTGAGAGAGATTTAAATCAGATTCAATCTATACTTGTGATTGACTTTGATTTTCTAAAAGCATACTAAATTGGTCTTAATTATCCCAGTTAATTTTATTCCTTTAGCCGAGTGCTTGAACTCCAGCTTTTCAATAAATCATCAATCTTTAGGCTTGATTCAGAATCCTAAAGGGCTTAGGGAGGGGTTGATGTTCTTAGCCTTACCCTTGCTCAAAATGGCGGCAATCCCTTCACAGCCTTACTTATCAGTTATAGATTGAGGGCCTATTTGGGTTAACTTTCTCATTGCTTTGTTTTTCAGACAACAACTATTAGTTCTATTTGGCTACTACTTTCTCGTAGCATTCTCTTTGCTTTTGAGAAATTTCTGTGATGGGAAGCTGCTTTTAAAACCAGAGTTGCTAATGTGTGATAGCTTTAAAAAGTAGTAGTTTAATTTTTTTTAAAAGAATACATTTATAATATTCACAATGATTTTTAAAAAAGTTATTATCTCCATAATAATAACCTCACCACTATCTTTATAAAATGCTACTGCTATCCTAAACAGACTCTAAGTATATTAATATTTATGTTAATCATTCAATTTCATCTTTGTGCTATTTGATCAATG